CGTTTTGTTAGCGCAAAAAATACACAACAGTGGCTTGTATGGCCGTCTAAATGGGACACGGCAATAGGAGAGCCCGTCCAGTTAAAATAGATGGCCCTGCGATAAATTTCAGGAGGAGTAAGCATTCCCGTGCACAAACCCCAATATAAAACTAAACTGTAACCTTAATACCAACTCTTACCCTACATTAACATAATTCCGCCCCTAACCCTAAACTTAATCCTAGCCCTCACCCTAATCCTAAGGCTAATTTCCCCGGAAGTTGGCGCAGAACCACAAGTATGGCGGGTAGTAACTGTTCCCGTTCCCTGTTCACACGGCCATACAAGTCATCCTTACCAAAAATATTCAGAACTGAATTCTATCTATTGAAAACCAAGCTGTTTGGGGTTCGGGCAACCATTGCGGAATTCAGAATATGTATTAAGCTCCACCAGAAAAACAATGGAACCGTAGAATGAGCTTAAAATATCATGCTTATGTGGACCCAAATCAACAATGAGGAGCTATTAATTTGGTAAATTTTAGTCTTCACTGCCAGGACCTTGCCTTTTCCCCAGCTCAATCCTACTTCATTTTTTTGCTAGAACTTGTGGTTTTAGTTCACTCCCAAAGGCATCAAGAAAACAAGAAACCTACTGAAACAGTTAACGTTGTTTCTTGCCTAGCTGGCAGGGAAAATGCACTTTAACCTGAGGGCTAGCGTGAATGGTAGGCGCTACTTCCCAAGGAGTCATTTTTAACGCCGACGCTACGGCGCTGTCGCCTAGCCTTGCGCATACATGCATGTAGCCGTTGCTAGGTGTGCGCGAATGCATCGACCGACACTCGGTGCTAGATTCAGGCTTGCCCAAAAATCTTATTGGCTCAGCTTGCGACAACGTCACTGACCTTGCTAACGCCCATTGGGCCACGTCAGCGAAGTCCATTCAATAGAATTGTCTGGCTACGCAGCCTATAAATTGGCGTGAGAGCGAGCGACGTGCCATTGTTTGCTGCTGTGACTCTTCTTCCGTCGTACCTCTCTCCTCACTTCGTTATGGAGCTCGATATCCAAAATACTAATCGACCCCACTTCTGCAGTCTCAGTCCCGGGTCCTGGCCTCGGCCGTATATTTGATGTTTCTTCAGGCGATACAAGCCTTTCTACGACCCCTCCACAGAGCAATTTTCTGACTGGATCGCTCTCGAGTCCCACTGACTCCTTGCCTGATGGCGGCTTCTGGCAAGGTCCTGCCTCAGGCCAGACGAAAGAAACCGATCTTGACATCACGAGTAAGGATCTGCCCACGCCTCCCAACGACGTTGATGTGATATCAGTCTCGCGTCTGGACACAAGTGACGCCGCGGCCACGATTAGGCATCGAGAGGCGATGAGGAAGTCTTCTCGCTGGCTGGTGGTTCACGTGCGAGGTACAACTACGGTAATCATATTCCTGCCCCGACAGCTTTCAACTCCTAAATCGTCGAGTCTGTCGAAGTCAATGCTGACCTCTTGTATGGAGTGGTTGGAAACGCTGGGGATGTCACAGATTCTGGTGGCTGTCAACAAAGCACTGTTGGGAGAAAATCCACTAGGCTCCTCGGTCTACAAGAGTCTTCTCTTCCTCGGCTTTTCGACGCTGCCCTCGTGGATTGTGGCTGAACAATTACCCTATCTGGGGGAAAGCTTTTCTTGGCTTGTTACTGACTTGATCGATTGCTAAATGTCCGTTTTTTCTTCATTAACTGTAATTAATACAA